GTGGGTGAGATGAGGGCTCAGTCACTGGAGAAGCCTGAGGCTACTGTAGGCAGGTGGCCGTCCCCTCCCGTCGTGCGAAGCATGGGGGAGGCAAGTCGTGTGTTGTACTCCTGAGGTGGGCTGCTGTGCAAGAGGCGGCCTGTGTTACAATCCCCACTATCCCAAAGGAGGTAGGTGGGCCTGTGGCAGGGGAGGACCTTTTAAGAAGACTCTCAGACAGTGGGCTAGATGGCAAGTGGCACTGTCCACACCTCAGACACACCAGGAGAAACAGCCAGGCCCCTTCCCTCGGGGACCCCTCTGGTTTGGTCCCAGACCATTATAGGAGCTTCAGCCTTGTCTTAATTGCCTTTCTCGCTGTGAGACGAGGCACCCGACACCCACAAGTTAAGGAGGCAAGGTTTATTGGCTCGCAGTCTGTAGAGGGCCGTGCAGAGGAGAATCAGCCCACAGTGTGGCAGGCGGAAGCAGGGAAAGCAAGCAAGCAAGGGCTGACCACAGCTCCTTCTGTCGCTCATTTCTTATCCAGGATACCAAGGATTAAGGACAGGTAGTCCTCACACCTTTAATCCTAGCACTGCACCAGGAACCAATCCTAGCACCACATCCCAGATCCAACCACTTCTGAAAAACCCCACCTGTGAGCGCACGAGGCTTTGGGGGACGCCTAGACCCAACCACGACATCTGGGTGAGATAAAAGGGGCAGAAACACTCTGCTAAGATCCCCTGCTTGATTTGCTGCTTCTGCCCACCATGGACTGTCTCTGCTCTGAGGTGCCCCGCTGCCATGTGCCGCCCCGCCTTGGAGCCAGCGACTAGACTGAAACCTTCACAGACTGCGCTGAATAGACCTCCTTCACTGTGGGTGTCAGGTGTTTTGCCTCAGCTATGAAAAAAATAATAAGATGGGTCACTTGGCTTTGAGGGTCCCTGGCCTTCAAAGATTGGACACTGCGTGTGGCCCAAGTGGGTCTGAGCGAGTCCCCAGATGCTTGCTCTTGCAGCACTGTGGCCAGATGGGTCCAGGCTCGCAGTCCCTGCCTGTGCCTCCCATCTTCCTCCTGAAGTTTGCCATGGCCTTCGTGCTGGCTTCCCTGAATGGTCAGCACAGGGCCTGGCACCCAGTCCAGAGTGGCCGCGGCAGCTGGTAGTTGTAGACGCTCGTTCCCCATGGTCTCGGGCAGGTTTTTGATTTCTCCATTCTCCATGTTTGCTGTCCTGTTCATGTGACAAAGAGCAGGTTCTGTTGGCCTTTAAGTGACAGTTACCTGTGGGCAACAATGTAACATTAGTTCTAGACCCTGGGTGGTGTGACAGAAAGAGGGGCAGGAAATGACAAGCAGGTCCTGGGTGAGACCACAGGGATAGTAAGGTGGGGGGGAGGGAGCAAGGAGAGATGGAGGGGGACATGGGACATTGGATGGAGGCTGTCACTGAGCCTACTGGGAGGCCAGGGAGAGAGGAGGCACCCAGAGCACACTCTACTGCCACCCGGATCCAGCTGTCCCACTCCCGCAGGCCACCAGGCCCAAGATGTAGCATCAGGCGTCTGCCCATGTAACCATTTCCACCAGTGACAGCAACTTGTGCTCTGCATCATATGTGTACTGTCCCTACCTTGCTTTGGGCTGAGTGGGCTTCACCTTTCCCCGTAAGAAGGTGTTTAGGGGAGAGGGGAGTCCCTGTATGTCCCGATGGACCAAGGTCGCACGGGGCCAGCATGTCACTGCCTCAGTGTCCAGCACTTGCCCAACCTGGGTGGTTGCTGGGCTCACGCCTGACTCCTGTTTCATGGTTGTCCACCTGATGGCGCCTTTCATGCGTCTTCTCTGTCCTCACTAGGAGGGTCAGTCTGTCCTCATCCCCAGAGGCCTGGGGTCCATGTGGAATAACAGGGCGGAACTTTCTTCAGACTGTGACATGTGTACCAGTGGACCCCAGGCCTGGGCTGGGAAGATTTTGTTTTGTTTTGTTTTGAGACAGAGTCTCCCTATGTAGTCCAGGCTGGCATTGAACTCACTCTGCAGGCCGCGCAGGCCTCCAACTCGAGGCAGTCGTACTGCCTCAGCCTCCCAAATGCTGGGACCACAGGTGTGTGCCCCCATGCCTGGCTCAGGTAGCTTTTTGTTTTGAGGTGCTGGGGGTTGCACCTGCACCTTGCGGCTGCTAGACAGTCGCTTTAACTCTGAGCTGCACCCCAGCCCAGGGACACCTTTTAGAGTGAGGAGCTATGTGAAGGGTGGGATGTTTCAGTGCAGAGCCTTGTGGCAGTGCGGGCGAGGGTCACTGCCCCGTGTTTCCCCATTGTGCCATGCCCTGCCTCCTCCCCGTGGGGCACACTTCCACCTTGTCACAGTCACTTTCTGCCCCCCGGGACACCCTTTTACTTCTTGGCGTCCACAGAGACCTAAGAGGAAAGGAGAAGCTCAAGGGGCTCCGGGCTTCTACAGCAGAGCTGTCTGTGCAGAGCTGGCCTGGCCCAGTGGGCCTGCTGGGCCGTCACCGTCACCATCACCAGCCATGTCTTGATAGCCCCTGAGTCACGGTGCACGGCCCCCACCAGCCTGCTCTGCACTCTTCAAGGGCCTCTGCAGGTTTCCCTAGCAACACTGCTGCTGGGTCACGATTTCAGGGAGAAAAGCATCCTTGTGATTCTGCCTCCCAGGGCACCAGTGTCCTGAGTCCCATGTATGTGGTGCCCTGCATGTCTGCCTGGGAGCCGCCTCCACATGCCAGCACAGGAACAGTCCCCATCTGTGCTGCCACTCAACGCATAGCAAGTTGGCACGCCACCAAGTGTTCACTTGCCAGGGGGGCATGGTGGCCTACACCAGGCTGCAGGATGAGGCAGAGGGACTGTGAGTTCGGGGCCAACCTAGGCTACATGGCAAGACCTGCCTTTTGTTTCATTTTGTGGTGCTGAGGGTGAAACCCAGCATCTCTAGCATGCTAGGGAAGGGCTCTATTCCTGAGTGTAAGCTGCCTGGAGACACTGTCTCACTTCCTGCGCATGGGCGGAGGGCAGTCATGCGCAGTAAAGTCCTTGGAATGTGGTGAGGCCTCAGCGCTTGTGGTCTTTGTTTTCAGTACTCAATCCCGTCGCATTTCTACCCTTGCAGTAGAGGTAATGGCTGTCTCTCCCAACGGGCTCTAGCTGCTGCTGCAGGGCTTCGGGCTAGTCCTTGTGCCTCCGTGGAAGGTCACTGAGGACAGTACCTCAGCCGGCCAGCCTGCGCAGCCTCTGTCTGGCAGCAACGTCAACCATGGCCTTTGGGCCCAGCACACTCTTATGCTTTTCTACCATACATGGCAGCAGTACTGGGGAGGCTGAGGCAGGAGGATCATCGCAAGTTCAAAGCCAGCTTGGGCTACATAGCAGGACCCTATCTCAAAAAAAGAAAATTTTTTTTTTGTTTGTGTTTTTTTTTTTTTTTTTTTTTTTTTTTTTTTTTTTTTTTTTTTTTGCGGAACCAGGGATTGAACTCAGGCCCTTGCGCTTGCCAGGGAAGCGCTTATTCCACTGAGCCATCTCCCCGGCCCCAAACAGAAATGTACTTTTTGTAACATGAAAATTTGGGGGAGAAGGGAAACAGAAACACATGATTACCTACAGGACCATATTGAAACAGCAGAAAGTAACTGGAAGCTGTTGCTGAGGCTGTGAGGGGCCCTGGGCTGACAGCTCAGCTACCAACACACAACTGTGCAGTGTGACTTGATGCTTCTGTGAGAAGGGGTGGTGGGAGGTCATGCTGCGAGGCCAAGTGACAGGAGGGACCTTGCAATGTGCTGCTATTGGGACGAGCGCAGCCCCGGCATGGGGTCCTCCTGCTGGCTCCGCCCTGGGGACAGGCACCTCCTAGCCTCTGGCCACCCACTTCCTCTAGGCGGGTCCCTAGTGGGCATGGCCCCACCGGGTCCAGAATGGCTCTTCCAGACTGCTGCCCACTGAGCACACGTGACCCCCCCATGCTGCCACCACCACTAAGGGCCTTCTGCTTTCTTGTCACTTACATGTCTGGCTTCTGGTGGCATTTGTAGCCTGTCCCTTTGCTACTGCAAGGACATCTGGGCCTGGTGGGCACTGCTCCCCACTTCCCTCGGCCCTGCCCCAGCCCTGCCCCTGTGCAGCCCTTCTCGGCTTTGATCTGGATGTGGTGCCTTTGGCTGAGCTTCAGTTTCCATGTTTGCAGACGGCACGCAGTGACAGCCTTTCCCTCACAGTTGTTAGGACTCATGATCCAGTAGGGGCTGGTATCTGGGGCCCTGCCCAGGGACTGGCGTGTAGCAGGTACCCGAGAAACGTGGTGAGTAGTGGCTTTAGGGAGGCCAAATCCTCAGTTCCATGGGGCAGGCTCACTCTCTCTGTCTCTCTGAGGGCATAGGCCTGGGGCCTGTGCAAGGACGCAGGCAAGCAAGCATAGTACCCTGGAGCTGCCCCCAACCTTCATGAATATCTTTCTTGAGCGTGAAACCTTTGTCCTTTGCAAGTCAGTTACTACAAGCAAGCACAAACCAATTTGCTACGGAGCTTGTTTTGTTGTTTCCTGTTTTTTCTTTTTCTTTTCTTTTTTGAGATAGGCTCTTGCTATGTAGACTCTTACAGAGATCCTCCTGCCTCAGCCTCCAGAGGGCTTGGAGGTCAGGCATGTGCCACCATGCACTGTACTGTGCACCTTATCACTCTTCTCCCTGCTGGCCCTACTTCCCTCCAGGTCCTGGTGCACAGCATCAGCTGAGCCCCGCCCTGTTGTGAGGGATGTCAAGCTCATCCCCATGCCATGGCTCACGGGCCTCAGTGCTGCGCAAAAGAGAAGCAGGTGCTTGTGGGAAGGGACAGGAGGCCCTGGGCGGCAGGGCCTGGTGAGGCCCACATAGTTCTTGGGTGGCAGGGCCATCCAGGGCGGAGAGGTCAGGTGTGGGCTGGCTGCCCAGACCCCTGCCTTGGCCCTCACGGCAGGTGCCCGAAGACCCTCACCAGGCGTGTCTCTGCCGCAGGTGAACGGGAAGGAGCTCTCCAAGCTGTCTCAGGAGCAGACGCTGGAGGCCCTTCGCACCTCCAAGGAGCCCCTGGTCATCCAGGTGCTGAGACGAAGCCCCCGCCTGCGGGGTGACAGCTCCTGCCATGACCTTCAGCTGGTGGACAGTGGCACTCAGACCGACATCACCTTTGAGCACATCATGGCGCTGGGCAAGCTGCGCCCGCCTTCCCCGCCCACAGGCATCCTGGAGCCGTACGTCCTGTCTGAGCTGTGAGTTGCCCTCAGGAGGGCCCCAGGCCTGCTCCAGAGAGGACGTGCCAGCGGCACTGACAGGGCTCCGGCCTGTGCCGGAGCCTGACTCGGCCTGCCTGGCTTGAGCTTCGGCACCACCAGGTCTCCAGTCTCAGGCTCCTGTGGCTGGCTGGGGCACCTCGCTGCTCCTCCATCCTCCTCCTCTGCCACCCTGTCATGGCCTCTGCCTCTTCACAGGCCTCACTCCCGAATCTTGTATCGCTGTCCCATCCCTCTGCCTGCTCTGTGTCCCCTCCGTCTCTTTGGCCTCTCTCTGGCCCACCTGGGCATAGAGGGACAGCAGTCTGCCCTCTGTAGGCAGAGGGGTGCCCATTTGTTCTGCACATGGCCTGGGGCCTGGGTAACTCCTGGGGGCGCTGCATGCATGGGCTGGTGCTGGGGGCAGTGGAGTCCCTTGGAGCTTTGGCGAAGTTGGTGCCCAGTGCTGGGATGGGTAGGGAGAGCTGGGACTTGGATCTGGGGACGCACATGGTTCAGGAGTAGGGGTTTCTGGATGAGGCATGGCCACCTATGCACATATGCGCGCATGCACATACACACAGAGTGCACCCAGGGTGGGGCTCTGTGCCAAGCACCCTGGGGACTGGCCAGCTAGGACTGGGGTGCAGGGAGCAGCCAGCCTGCCTGACGTCTGCCTTCTCCTGGGCAGCACCCCCATCAGCCATGAGTATTATGACCCAGCGGAATTTATGGAGGGCAGCCCGCAGGAGGTAGACCGCATGGACGAGCTGGAGTATGAGGTGAGCTTGGCCTGGCTCCTGCTGCCCTTCCCAGAGTCCCTTGCTGATATGCGTCTGGCCAAGTCGGGGAGGGCGTGGGTGAGGTGGCGAGTTCCATCTCTGTTGGTGAGTCTGTGTCCTTGCATGTCTGTGTGTGGTGTGTCCCGTGTGTCTGTGTGTGCCGTGCGTCCTGTGTGCCCTGGGCACTTCCTGGTAGGGAACAACCCCAAACACACACCACTGGGATGGTAAGAGAAGGGAGCCCTCAAGGCTGGGCACCGGGAGATCAGCTCAGGCAACCGCAGGGCCTCGGGGACAGGGCCAGGCTGAGGTCACAGGGCCGACTGCGGCCTCCTCGTCATGCACACAGCCTTCCTACCTGTGCTTCCTCCCATCCTCATGGCAGGAGGTGGAGCTTTATAAAAGCAGCCACCGAGACAAGCTGGGTCTGATGGTGTGCTACCGCACGGACGACGAGGAGGACCTGGGCATCTATGTTGGAGAGGTATGGGGACGATGGCATGGTAAGGCCAGGGCAGCAGCTTCAGTGTGGCCAGCGATCTGGCCAGGTGTGGGTTCTCCCCCGCACCCCGAGGCCGGTCCCTGGGAATGAGCAGGAGCTGACGTCTGGGGACTAAAAGAGGGCTCGCAGCTCCCCAGGGCCCTTCTACTGGCACCTGGTCCTTTGCATTGTTGTTTTGAGACAAGGTCTCGCTTCACAAGGGCTGGGATGACAGGCGTGCCACAACGCCTAGCTCTGTACTAGCAACTCCTAGTAGAGCTCACTTTTTGAGTGGCAAATGGCCCATTACCCATCCAATGCCCAGGCTGATGTTCTTGGCCTAGTCTCTGGAAGAAAACAGTAGGCTCCCATGCAAAGGAGCACAGGAATGCTGGGGGAAGGGCGAGGACACAGGAGCGTCCCAGGCCCGAGTACCTCTGCCTGGCTTTCTGGAGTTGCAGTGGGAGCAAAAGGGTGCCTCCAGTTTACTTGGCAGGCCTGGAGATGAGGCTGCCCCTTCTCGCCGCATGGGCACCATAGGGGCCAGATCCACAATACTATGTGTCCTGCAGGTGAATCCCAACAGCATAGCAGCCAAAGACGGCCGGATTCGTGAGGGGGATCGCATCATCCAGGTAAGGCCACCCATCTACAGCCTCCAGTGGCTCTCGTGGTCCTGTGGGATGTGTCTTCTTTCCCTCCGGTCCTCTCCTGGGCCCCTTCCGCTTGTTCACACCTGAACAGAGCTCAGGAGCCTGGCCCCACCAGCCAGCACCCATCTCCAAGGTGGCCATAGCCCTCATCCTTTGATTTTCCCCTGGCCTGCTCCAGATTAATGGCATGGACGTCCAGAATCGAGAAGAGGCAGTGGCCATCCTGAGCCAGGAGGAGAACACCAACATCTCCTTGCTGGTGGCACGGCCTGAGAGCCAGGTGTGTGTGCTCGCCTGTCAGGGACACCTCAGGGCCCTGGGCTGGGGCTGTCTCGGAAGCTGCTGATCTATGACAAATCTGGAGTAGGTGGGGGAATGGGCAGGGGTCGAAGTGTCTGACAGCCGAGTGGGCTGGGAACCCGTCTCCCAGGTTGTTTCATGTCCCTGAAAGCGTGGTGGTGGCAGCCACAGGACTAGAGGGGCTGCTGGGGGGATGTCCTGGCAGCCCCAGGGATTGCTTGAATATGTGTGTGCAGCTGGCAAAGCGGTGGAAGGACAGCGACCGGGATGACTTCCTGGATGACTTTGGCTCTGAAAATGAGGGGGACCTGGGCGCTCGGAAGCTGAAGTCACCCCCTGCCCAGCAGGTGAGGGCATGAGAAAGGGGTGGGGTGGGCAGGATCTCTGTGCCTAGGACCCTCCTGAGCATGCCCGCCTTTCTGCCCCAGCCCGGAAAGGAAGAAGACAAGGGAGCTCCAGAAGCAGGCCCGGCTTTGAGCAACAGCCAGGAGCTGGACAGTGGGGTAGGCCGGACAGATGAGAGCACGCGCAACGAAGAGAGCTCGGAGCATGACTTGCTGGGTGATGAGCCTCCCAGTGCCACCAACACCCCTGGGACCCTGCGCAAATTCAGCCTGCAAGGGGACTTGCACTTCAGCATGGACTCGCTGCTGGTAGAGGGTGCGGCGCTGGGTGCAGGGGACGTGCCTGGCCTCACCGACGAGGAGTATGATCGCTACCGGGAACTGCTGGAGATCAAGTGCCACCTGGAGAACGGCAACCAGCTGGGCCTCCTCTTCGCGCGGGCCTCGGCGGGCAACAGTGCCCTGGATGTCAACCGCAACGAGAGCCTGGGCCACGAGATGGCCATGCTGGAGGAGGAGCTGAGGCACCTGGAGTTCAAGTGCCGCAACATCCTGCGCGCGCAGAAGATGCAGCAGCTGCGGGAGCGGTGCATGAAGGCCTGGCTGCTGGAGGAGGAGAGCCTCTACGATCTGGCGGCTGGTGAGCCCAAGAAGCATGAGCTGTCTGACATCTCTGAGCTGCCCGAAAAGTCCGACAAGGACAGCACCAGCGCCTACAACACGGGGGAGAGCTGCCGCAGCACCCCACTTCTCGTGGAGCCCCTGCCTGAGAGCCCCCTGAAGCGGGCTGTCACCACCGCTGCTGGCAACTCCAATTTGAACCGGACCCTCCCTGGTCCCCCCATCACCAGTCCCCCCAAGGCAACCCCCACACCAGGGAGCCCTGCGAAGTTCCGATCCCTCTCCCGGGACGCTGAGGCAGGCCGGAGGCAGCACGCGGAGGAGCGTGTCCGCCGTGGCCCCAAGACTGGGGTGACCCTGGAGCGGGTTGGCCCAGAAGGCAGCCCTTACCTGTCTCGACGCCAGCGTGGCCAGGGCCAAGAGGGTGAGCACTACCACAGCTGTGTGCAGCTGGCTCCACCACGCAGCCTGGAGGAGCTGAGCCACAGCACCTTGGGCCTGGCTGGTGGTCCCCGGGTGGGCGGCGTGGCAGCTGCAGCTGAGGCACCTCGCATGGAGTGGAAAGTGAAGGTGCGCAGCGACGGCACTCGCTACGTGGCCAAGAGGCCAGTGCGAGACCGGCTGCTGAAGGCCCGGGCCCTGAAGATCCGGGAGGAGCGCAGTGGCATGACTACCGATGATGATGCAGTGAGTGAGATGAAGATGGGCCGCTACTGGAGCAAGGAGGAGCGCAAGCAGCACCTGATCCGCGCGCGCGAGCAGCGGAAGCGCCGCGAGTTCATGATGCAGAGCCGGCTGGAGTGCCTGCGGGAGCAGCAGAGTGGCGACAGCAAGCCCGAGCTCAACATCATTGCGCTGAGCCACCGCAAGACCATGAAGAAGCGGAACAAGAAGATCCTAGACAACTGGATCACCATCCAGGAGATGCTGGCCCATGGCGCACGCTCAGCAGATGGCAAGCGGGTCTACAACCCTCTGCTGTCTGTTACCACGGTCTGAGCCACCCCAGCAGCCCTCGGCTTCCCTGAGTCTGGTGTGTGTGTGTGTGTGCGCTGCATTCCCGCACCTCCTGCCTGTCCTCGTGTGTGCAGGGAAGAGAAGGGACGCTCCTTTCGCATGGCCTACATCCTTCTCCCCAAGTAAGCAGCCCAGTGGACAACTGGCCTTGAGCACCACTGCGCGTGCGTCCGCGTGCTTGGAGGCCGGGAAGCCCATGTGAGGAGGTAACAAGGACTAAGCACAAGGAGCATCCAGCTTGGCGCTCCCCAGAGCTGCAGTTATTTGTAGACAAAGGCACCCCGGTTTTTGTGGTTTTTCTCCCTTTCTGTGCTTGCCGATAGTTGTTTCTGTTTTGTGGCCCTGCCATGGGTGGGCAGCCTGGCCGAGGGGCAGAGGTGGAGCCCTGTGTGCTGGCTGGGAAGGAGTTGGGGGGAGCAGAGGGAGGGCGGGGGGAGGGGGTGGGAGGAACGGGAAGCAGCTGCCGGCCCGCCATGGGCCAGATGGGGAGCCTGGACTCGGCTTGTTCAAGGATCACTCCTGGGGGCCACCTCCTTCCCCAGTGACTGAAGGAAAGCTAGACTGTAGGGACAGAGGGACAGTGTTCATCTGATAAAGTCACTCCCCCTGGGCCTGTGCCACTTAGATGTCGGGGTGAGAAACCATGCCCCATGAGCAACAGTGAGCGCTTTGAGGCTGCTCAGCCTGGGGAGGACTTGGTGACAGGCAGGCGGGTGGGCTGAGTGGGAGGGCAAAGCCCCAGTATCTGCTGGGTGTTGCAGTCTGCAACCATGCTGCCTGTGTGGTGCCCTGTGCTTGGAGGCAGACAGCTGCCGCGCCCTTGTCCCACCTGCATCTTGAGAATAAAGCAAGCTGCCTGTGCTCATTCTCGCCGTGTCGTCCTGGGGGGGAAATGGCCATTGGCTCACGGCTTCCTGAACGTTGCTGCATGTGGTGGTGCACACCTGTCATGGCAACATGCCAGAGGCTGAGGACCACTGTGAGGCCAGCCTCCTACGAAGAACAGCTCAACACCGAGCTCAAAGCAGCTAGTCGGTGATGAACCACACGGGGACACGCATTCCTGGAAGCTGAGCCTGCTGCTGGGAAGGCCAGGTCGCAAGGGGGCAGCTCCAGCGCTGCCCGTCCCACTAGCAGTCATGCCTGGGACACTTGGCCCACATGGATTCCAGCAGACCAGTGCCAGCCACCAGAGCTGAGCCCCCAGCTGGCTCAGGAAAGGGCTGGCTGTGGCACTGGGCTCTCTGACCTGCACAAGCTGATGCCATCAAGCCAGGGGTGGAGCCAGCACCAGGGAGCAGCGGGTGGCGACAGCTGCCAATGGCCCTGGCCCAGCCACTGCTGGCACATGGCACTTGCTGCTCCCTCTGCAGCAGGCCAGGGAGCAGCTGTGCCCCCTCCTCCCAGCTGGCCCCTTTACTGGGAGATCCTGGTGGGGTCCCATCTCAGCCAGCTTCCTCCCTCCAGGATCATGTGCTCAGGGGCACCAGAGGCCCTCGCCCCAACCCCCGGAGCACGGTCTCATCATAGCCATAGCCTAGGATTCACCTGGGACTTGCTCCAGCCCCATGGACCTCAGGGTCCTCAGGGGCATGAAATGGCTGGTGCCTGGCATGTGCCAAATGTGCCCAAAGTGCTGGTAGCAGTCTGCTATGGCACAGGAATCCCTAGGAGGAAGCAGGGCTCTCAGGAATGGGTATCTATCTCCCAAGTGTCTTGTGCCAAGCCTGATTTGGGGCACCAGGATGTACAGACAGGCACAGGTGGCAGCTAGTGCCACTGCTCAGCAGGCAGAGTGCTCGCACGTGGCTCATACCCCAGCTCTGAAGCCCCAGGTGCCTTGGAAGGATGAGGCTGCTCTGCCTCTGTAGGTCAGCAGCAGGACTGCCTGCCAGCCAAGATAGGTGCCACCCCAAGAGCACATGTGGCAGGCCAGCCTGCCCCACAGGGATGCCACGTGGGCACCTGGCTCTGCCCGGAAACCTGCTGCGGTCAGGATGTGTGCTGGGACAGAGGGGACAGCAGCCAGGATGGAGACACGGAGGAGGTAGGCGCAGTGCGAGGCGGGGCCCACACAGTGCTCTTCCACCCTGGTGGACGAGACCACGCTGCCTCCCAGTGTTGCCATCTCCGCTTCCACAAGGAGGGCACCTGGGATAGACAGATACTGTTTATTGAACAAGCAAGAGAAGCCTGGGGCGCCATCAGGCCTGGATGTGGCTCTTGGCACTGAAGGCGAGGTAGTAGATAACGAGGCCAATTACCGCAGCCAGCACCTCTGTCGAGACCCAGGGCCCATTCCAGGTGCCCTGTAAGGAAAGGGAAAGAAAACTGCCTCAGAGGCGAGTACTAGCCTGTCACCCACCTTCAGGGGCATGGAGACATGCTGACCAAGCCAGATGAGATGGAACGTGCCCTGGGAGGGCCGAGATAGGAGGATAACAAGTTCAAGGCCAGCCTGGGCCACTGAGCAAGACTTCGTCTCCAAATTTATTTATTTTTTAAAAAATTTTTTAAATTTTATTTGTGTGTGTGTGTGTGTGTGTGTGTGTGTGTGTGTGGCCAGCTCAGCCCACCAGGGGGCAGGACTGGCTGGCATGTGGTGCTGGGGGATTGAACCGTGGTCCCTGGGCTTTGCTAAGCTTGTTCTAAGTAGGTGCTTTAGACCACTGAGCCATCTCACCAGCCCCTCATCTCCAAATTTAAAAAAAAAACAAAACACAAAAAACAGACAAAAAAAAATGACTGGGAATATAGCTCTGTGCAAAAGCAGCAGGTAACAAGCCCGACTCTTGGCCCCCTTTCCCCCAGGCCAGGCTGCTCACCCGATGGTCCACGCTGACTGTGAAGAGTGGCGGGATGAGGGAGATGTCCTCATTGTTTCTCTGTGCCTGCACAGGAAGGGCCGGGTCAAGGATCCCAGCAGGATGCCCCAGAGGAGCCGCAGGGTGCAAGGCAGCAGAACCTGCCCTCCCTCCTGGAGCTCAGGCCATACTTGCCTTCCTCAGGAGGCTGTAGGACTCCTCATCAAAGAATCTGACCTCATAGGTACCTGCGTGGGCGTTCTTGTGGTCCAGGCTCCAGGACACCTGGGTGGGCACAGTGGACATGTGACGCACATCCCCAGGAACTGGCCCCTGTCCCCAAGCCCTAGCCCTGCTTCAGCTCCCACCCATGGCAGGCACTTGTCCCCAACCCTGGACTTGGCGTCCCTTACCTGGTAGCGGCCCACATCCTGGCCCCGGGTGACAGGGAACTGCTTTCCACTGACGTCAGCATAAAGAGCCATGTTCTGCTGATGACAGAGGGCAAGTCATTGTTGCCCTTCTGCAACTGTAGGGCCAGGCCCAGTGGGGCCACAGCATCTAGCAGCCCCCCAAGCCTGGCCTCACCTGGCCCACAGCAAGCCCATTAACTGTGCACAGGGGTAGCTGGACAGAAATGTTCCCATCATGCCTGGAGCCTGCAAGTGAGGGCTTGAGGTCACAGGTGCCACACAAACCGCCCAAGGAGTATGGCGTCTCACTCGTGCAGCCCAGGCTAGCCTCAAACTCACAGTGAGCCTTTTGCCTCAGCCTCCCAAGTGCTACGACTGTAGGCACGCACCACCACGCCTGGCTCCAGGATGCTCAATCTGGACTTGATCTTTGAGACAGTCTTGCCACCTAGCCAGGCCTCATCACACCCCTGACCCTCCTGCCTTGGCTTCTGGGGTGCTCGGATGCCAGGTGTGTCACGGTGCCTGACCAGGGCCTCTCAATCCGGATTTTACACACACACTAACAAATACACCCATAAACAACCACCAAAATGGGAGGGACTTGGGGGGCTGAGTGGCCCTTATACTTCCAGATACTCATTCTGCAAACAGTGGGCGTCCACCCAACATTACTGCATAGAGGCACAGCACGCTGAGGTCAGGAAGATGCTTGTGAGGCGGGTGGTGGACCATGCCTGTCACCCCAGCACTCTGGTAGCTGAGGCAGGAAGCCTGCCACCAGTTCAAGGCCAGCCTGGGCTACATAACAAAACCCTAGCTTAAAAAAAACAAAAAGAAAAAGAAAATGCCAGTAAGGTACTTAGCAGGACCTGCTCTCTCCTACACTCCCAACTGGAATCCCATTCTACCTGTTGCCACAGTCCCCGGGGTACTGTCGACTGCCAGTGAGCAGCACTGCCCCACCTCCACCGCTCCCTGGGCCCACCTGAACTCTATTCTTGCACATCAGCGAGATCTCCACGATGAAGACAGTTTCAGTAGAAATGACAGCGTCTGAGGTGGTGTAGTAGGAGGGGGTGATCTGGGGCTCCACACAGGCCTCTGCTATAGGAAGAGGTGGCACTTGGGTGTGCTAAGCCCAGACCTGCTCAGTGGAGGACATTTGAGTCCTTCTGCCCAGCAAGGTGAGGTCTGAGGCCCAATCCCAGGGTAGAAACACGGGTGACAGGCATGAAGAGGTGCAGATGGAACAGGGAAGGTGCTACACAGATGGTGGAGGAAGTGGGTGTGGTGGGGTGTGCAAAGGTGTCGGTCCCTGGCCTTGGGACACAAGCCATGCCAGCTTCATCCACAGCCAGGCAATGCCCAAATGGCTGAGGACATCTCTGGCAGAGCTGCCAGCATCCAGGGGCTCTCAAGATGGGGAGAAGGCTCTGGCCCCAGCCAGCTGAGAGGAGACCAGGCCTAGCCCCAAGGTTTCCCAAGGGAAGCAAGTTGAGGCCCCACATGCAGATGCACAACTGTCTGAACAGGAGGTAACCCCGAGTGCGAGGACCTGGCCTCAGCCAGCTCTGTATCTCAAAGGGCACGAAGCCAGTGTGCCCTGGTGGTGGAAAAGTGCTCAATGAGTGTTTGCCCAATGTGATGCCCTGGGAGAGGGACGGCTTTGGGTTTGGACAGAGGGGGACAGGCCTGGGAAGGGTGGCAGGGTGTGGCTCTCTGAGGCCAGATGCCACAGGTCCTTCTGGGCCCTGCCAAACTGGCCTGTGTCTTGTGGAGAGGGCTGACAGCCAAGCTTGTCCTTTTGGGACACCTT